AATGATGTTTGGACATCACTCCAGTTTACTGACGACCCCACTGGGGCCTGCAATAGAACCGTACAACTGTCTAACAAGGCGTCAGGTGACCGCCGTCGTCAAAGCAACGGACGGTGCAATCTAATCTTCCCTTCATCCCTTCCAGCTCCCAATAAGGGCCAGATTATAGAAGTGGCCCATCAATGCTTGGTAACTCGAATCAATTAACGTTAATTCGCACAATGCTATGATGTATTGTGATCACTTTCATTTCGGAGAAGGGGGAAGAAATTGCTATAATTCACCTAAAATGAGGTTGTCTATGGTGCTGAGGTATTAATTGGGTGTCCATATTAAATGGAAAAGGAGCACRGTAGTGAAGGAAAAGTGGATGAGTGACTCTCTTGGCTGCTATTGACCTATCAGAAGAAGACAGTGCCCTTTTCCTTTGCTTTTATCTATTACAGTTTTCCCTATTGCGTGTCAAGTTGATGTATTATAAAAAATTCATTTGGTGACCTTTCACCCCCCTAGCAGATTAAACAATTTCACTGGGATGGCATCATTAACAGGACCTTGCATTTAATGATGATTTCTCTAAAAGGCCACGGAGATTCGATTTTAAGCTAACAGATTTATTGCACTATTATAACATATCGTAAAAAACTGTACCACCTACGGTCTGGTTTTAGGATAGAAACTGTTTAAGAGTTTATGTGGAGCTTAAAGTGGTATTACCTTGGGATACGCAGCAGCGGCAAGGCTCTGACCTCTGGCGTGATTCTGTTTGCATTTAATAAAAGACGTCCCTCCAACAGTAAACTTCAGGAGTGTGTTATGGAGGAGGTCTTAGTCTGGCTTAGTCCCTGACCACTAGCAGGCGGCATTGTAAAGTACGGGCATTTCCCCTGTTCTCCAACAATTGTCCCTGCTAGAGCAGGGAGATTGGACTAGATGATATCTAGAGGTCCAACCTTAACCATTCTGTGATTCTGTAATTAGTGTAATTCACTAATGAATCTGGAGGATGTTTCTCTCCTGTATGATGGATGGATTCTGAAGGCATCTGGTGATTGCAGATCGCCCTTTTTTATGCCTCTTCACCCTTGGGTGTACCCGTTGGCTCTTTCCAGTCTCCGATATTTTTTAAGTTGCGTTTTCCAGACTATGGGAATCTGAATTATGACAGTTACCACCAACTGCATCCACCAGGTAGATGTTTGTCTTCAGTTTTAGGTACAATGGCGATCATAAACTAGTAAATGAAAGCACTCTAAGCAGAAGAAAGCACTTGCCATATGGAGGAGAGACGTGTGTATATTCCTAGAAAGTTGTGTTCATGCTGAGTTGCTCCCTTTCCTTCTCCTCAAAGTGGGGAGAACATTCACCCTGAGCTAGACTGGGAACTGTCTGGAGCAGGGATAGTGTCTGTTGTAGATCCAACATCTAGCAAATGGAGATCTGATGGTGGATCTTTAACCCAGTAGGTTAAAGTCAGAACTCATATTCAGAAAGACTTGTTTGTTTATTTGTTTAATTAAAATATATGCCAAAAAAAAGCTATTCTTTTGCTATCTACCACCTTATCTGATGCTTTAAACAGGCATAACTAGATTCTAATCCGAATTTGCTTGCTGTCTGAAAGGAAATGCTCAAAATGGTTAGATAAAAAAGCTTACCCCTCTTTTCCCACCTGACCATCACAAGGTGATTCAGTTACTTGTTTATTATCCCAGTTCACCATCAGTCCTGCCTGCCTTGTTGCTCCTCTTCTCTATTAGACCTACTCCTACTAGCCCTCACAGCATCTAGCCTTCAGGGCAAAGACTTACAGTGGTCATGACTTTGTTCAAAGCTCCCTGCCAGTGTTAGCAATGTGCATGGCTGGAATATGTTGAATTTTGACCTTATTRGCTCAGCCCAGGCAAAAGATGGAATATATCATTAATGTCTGTCTGCATGTGTCTCATTCAGTCCATTAGCCCAGCCATCACAAAGGGACATGATCAATATTACTTTTTTATTTTTTCTTCACTGTCAGGGAAAGCTGAAACTTKCTTTCTGCTTGAGTTTCTTTTCTATAGCTTAGATTTTCTGTATGACATGGGGAAATTTGGGCATATATGGAAATAAAAGTCATCCTTTGGAGAGCTGTTKTGCGTACACTGGGAGTGAACCGGGACTCTTAATGCATATCTCTGGATATTCATGTCCCTCTTTCCTATCTATATCACTCAGTGATAAGATCTGCAGAGGGAGACAAAACCTTGAACAATGCAAGAAAGAGGGAACAGGTACCTCGTGTTTGGCTGACCTCATTCCCATCAGCCACAGTGGGAACATGYAGGTCTATATGGTCGGCATACCTCTGATTCAAGAGTGCTGATGTATCCACAACCCTTGTGGTAAAGCTGCACTTTCTTTGCCTTGTGCAGCTCCTCAGATTGCCTATGTCCTGTCTGCATTATGGCACCTTCTTCCCCACAGTCTGTCTTCTTCTCACCAGCAATCCCAWTTTGAATGCTTCCGTACCATTTGTGTGTTGCCTTGGACTTTGTTATTTTGCCTGGACCCCTGGGCCTTCAGGCTTGCCAAGAAGTGGCAAGTTTACAATAGAGATGATCAAACTTCCCTGCCAAGGCTTGTTCTTTGGCACTATTTCATTTTCTAATATTGATGTGTACATTGACTTTAATAGAACCTTGACACAGGCCCTAGATCTAATCTCTTTCTCCTGGAAGCCAATAGATAATAATAATTTATTACTAGAATTATAAATAATATAATTTAGAATGGCAACCACTTCTTGATTGCAACAATACCTTCTTCTCTCTGCCCCAAATATCTCCTTTTAGCTTGTGATTCATGCTTTTATATCCTCAACTGGTCCTCTAGTTTCTTCCTATGATCCRTAGCTTCCTTGCTGCTGAGTAACAGGCGTGTGGTCTCCTGCAGAGCCCTAGMTTGTTCTCCAGACCTGTGTTGGTGCCTCTGGGTCCGTTGCTGACCAAGATACCATGATATCACTTGCTTGCCCACTGTGCCCACCTACAGAAGTGCTGCAAGGCACTGAGCTGCCGAGCTGCTCTGCGATGAGTGCTGTCAGCAGGGGATTGCAAATCCTTCCCACCGTGGCACAAATCACCAGGGGAGCAGCAGGCTGCTCTTCTCTCCTCCCTCTTGACACTGATACTCACTTGCAGGGACATAAGTCACTGTGTGCAGGGCTGCACCCTAAGGCAGGGGCTCCTTCACAGCAAGAAGCAGGCTGGACCATGTGGAAGATAAATACCATGTTCTGTGCTATGTTGGCTGCATTCAGATCACCTGCAAACTAAAAATTAATGTTTAACGTGCATGTGAGATTTTTTTTTTTCCATTTTGTTATTTTATGGCATGCTTTAAGGAGTGGGAATGATCACCTGTTACCTCCTTTAAATGAGTGATGAGCCTGGGTTGTGAAGTCTGGCATTGCCCCAATATTTTTCGTGTTTGCTGTCAGTTTAAGGAAAATAGAAAGAGAATACATAAATAAATAAAATAAATAAAATAAATAAATAAAATAAATAAATAAATGAAATACTTTTTTTTCTGGTCTACATACATAAACTATGCCAAGATTCACCTGAACTTAGCTGAATGCAGTTGGATACGGAGAACTCACCAAAAGTGCAGATCTCTGCCATAAAAATACAGTGATCTGTTGTCTTTCTGTAGTGAATTTAAGTCACAGTACTGCATGTCCAATTATGGAAGGAGGCTGGGCAGAGTACTGCAGATGAATTGGTCCCTTTGCCATGATTTCCTAACATACTATCGCTTTTCAGAATTAGCAGCTTAGAAGAAAAGGAATCTAGAGAAGAAGTGAGACTTTCTGTTTAAATTGTGCCGGTTCCTTAAACCACAAGTGTCCTTAAACCCGTCTTTCCTGTTTCTAAGGTCTGATCAAATACTTACCATCTCCAGGACAATATTTCAGTACTTCAGCTCCAGGAGAGGCAGGATATGTTTTGTAATGCACAGTAACAAACTGAAAGAAATTTGTGGGTTTTTTTTTTGTGTTATTTGTAAACAGCTTTAAGCAAACACCAGCAAGATGAATGAATAACTTTGTTATTTTCATTTCAAGACAAAATCAAAAACTGCAAACAGTGTCACTGTAATAATTATTTAGAAGTATATATTGGTATAAAAGATATTCTAAACAACAGAAAGCACTAGGAGAGCGAATGTAATGATACGGATTCAGAATGAAATGTTGATTATTTATTCAAGTGCAAAAGCCCTCTCCGGTCGTGCTTGAATTTAAATTTCAGTCTTGAAAAGACAGTTTCTTTTAATATAGTATGTGGACTTCCCAGATAATGAAGTGTAGAATCATAGGGAAGACAGAATAGAGATGTGCAGTAAAACCTTTTGCTTTAAGTCTTGTCCTTGTGTAGAGGAATTGAAACTTTTTATTTACAGGAGCTCAAAGATACCCATTGGAAATCTTTCAGCTGGACAGGAAGCTTTTGTAGCCTTCAGTTATCAATTTGCTGGAATTAAGACTTTGGGGATAAGAATCTGGGTTTGTGAACATGTCAAGTCTGCCTGTGCTACATGAATCCTATGTGATGCTGGGAAAATAACTTATTTTGTTAATTCCTCAATTTTCCATCTGCAAACTCGGGTTAGGAGCAATGATTTTTTCTTTATTACTTAAGCATTGTTATGTGATGCCTGTTTCATATTTTTGTACATACTGATTAATGCAATGTATCAAAATATAATAATAAGATAAATTAGTAGTTGTTCCTACTAATTTATCCTTCCTACTCAAAACTAACACTTGAGTATTGCCACCTGCATTAAAAAAATGGCAGAAAATCTTGTGAACGGAAAATAATGCATAGTTATGAGACATAGGCATGTGTGAATTATCTCAGGAATTTACATCAGATGTTTTCATAGCATTAATTTTCTGTTTTTTTTTTTTATTTTTTTTTCTCAATTTCCTTTGCAAATGAAAGAAATGGAAGCAGACAAACCCCTGGAACTTGCTTGTATGTGAGGCCCTACAGCATCTCTGTTCGGGTTCAGCCCTCAGATGGAGAAATGGAGAAACCRCTTCCTGTGCAGCCGCAGATCATTTTCCTGGATAGGAAGGTAGGATTTGCCTCTCTGTGTATGGACATTTATTAGTGCTTCACATTCTTGACATCTCCAAGCAGTCCGAAAGCCATGGGACTGACCTAGAAAAGGCAAAAGATTTCTCTGTAAATAAGTAGTCAGTGGCACTGGCACATACCTTATCTTCTAGATCCTGTCCATATTTTTGAGCTTCCTTCTGCATCTTGTGAGAGTTAGAATCTTACTTTGGTAGATATTGTATTCAATCTCTGTTCCTCGGACTTAATAGATAACMTTGGAGCTTGTGGTGCCTGAAGTGGTTCATAAAATTCCATTTAGGCAACTGCATCCTCCCTTGAACTTCACACCCATTTCAGGCACACATTCCATTTTTTTTTTCTAGAGATGAGAGTTAGCAACTCTCTTAAAAAATAAAGAACTGAATGCTGAACTTTTCATGCACACATGGACTAGATCCTGCATGGCTATTATAGCGGTGATATTTAGGAATCGCAATTAATTTATTTCAGTGAGCGTAGGAAGAACTTAAATCTGCAGCTTATCTAAATGGACAGACTGAATCCATTCTGTTTCCTTGAACTTTGATGCTGTGGTGTCAAAATTATCTCGTAATGCTTCTCATACGCAATGTGAATGGGACACTGAGTAYTTAAAGTGAAGCAGCCAAATTTGCCAAACCGTGCTGAAATAGAGTGAAGTTGCCAGAACTGATTCTTCTGAGGTTAAGTTCATCTCAGAGAGTGATAGCGGGTTATGTTTTGTTGTTTGCAACATGTAACATGCATGTCAGTGCATTAAGAGATGATTATAATTGCTTAAAATTATCCAACATTTCTTTCCTTTTGGTGAGGATTGATTTCTCTCTTGTTCTTTTTCCCAGGGTAAGAGAGTTGACAAACTGGGGCTGCCCTCAGAGCCCTGGGTTGTATCAGCTCACCTCAAGGGCTCCTCGGAGGCTATACTAAAAGGTTTGGACATATTTTCTTACATTAAGGGTTATATCAAAGTAGACACGGATAATTATGGTGATAAATTTGAGGTTCACTCTGGTAAAGGTTGGACTTGAAGGTGATTCTTTGGACTGAAAAAAGGAAGGTTGAATTAGAAGGATTTTGGTGAACTGCCCGGTCACATGCTAGAGAAAGAGGAGTTTATACAAGGTGTTTCCATGCTCCGTCAGCACAAAGGGACTATATCCAGTAGTTCATCCTGAAAATGTATATCTTGGATCAAAAAGGCAAAGAATGGAGAATTAGAAATCCTGATATCTGATTTTCAGCTCATGTTAATTGGGGTAATTTCCTCAGAGTCAATGACAATCTGTTTGTCCCAGCAAATGATCTGGCCAAGTAGAAACAGAAATAACTGCCTATTGTTTTTAATTAGCATACTTCAATGTGAAAATGTTTTTCATGGGGGATTTAAATGCTTCCCTTCTGGTCCTCATTTATCAAAAGACCTGAACTCATGATTAACTCTAAGCATGTGAGTATTTCCCTTGAGGTTATTGAGACTATGCACATGCTTAGATAAAGATCGTTTTTTAAGCACAGCACTGAACTCAAAACCTGAGGATGATCATATGCTTGTAAACTGGAAAGTGGAAATGAAATTGATTATAAACAAAGCATCCCAGMTTCCCTTGTTCTGACCTTTAAGCATCAGTAAATAGGGCACACAATGAAAAGTTAGGTTTCCTATTATTAGGTAAAATATTTTGTTTGCAGGAAGATTATTTGTGCATTAAATTTGACTTAAAAAGTTAGCATTTGGGGAAGGTAACTGGTGTTCATGCTCTAGATTAGGATTCCCACTCTTTTAGCTTGTTCTTCTATTAATTTTAAATTCTTCCTGTCCCACTATAATTCTGGATTTACAGGTTAGAAACTTGCCCAGATTTTTTTTTAAAATTGTTTTTAGTGCATTCTCAGGAAAGTATGTCTCAAATGTCTTCAAATGTGGGTCTAGGTGAGTGATGATTATTGCACCAGCTATCATRATCAGCTGGGAAAATCCTGTGGCCTGTATCATGTAAGAGAGAATTTAGGTGTCCACAAAATGCAAACTAATTCTGGGATCTATTCAAAGGTTTTTCTAGATCCTTGCATATAAATATGTATACACTTCAAGACAATTGCATTTATACAGATTAAGCAACCCATAAAAATACTTTAAGACAGAGCTTGTTCTTCAGATATTTCTCCTATAGTAATTGTACTGGGACTATGCAATTCTTTTCCAGAGCTTTGATGCTGATGTTTCAACTGTTTGATTCTGATGGTTAGAAAATAGCAAATTGGCAATTTAAAAACTTAGATCCACCTGCCTTTTTTTTTTTTTCCTTTCCTCTCCCTATTGATTGTGTGTATGCCTTATAAGAAAAACTGCTTTGGGGAAACTTATTTTCATCTGACTTTTGCAATGGAAATTTAATATAGAGCTAAGGAAAGAAAAGAAGGAAGGAGAGAGGGAAGGAAGGAGAGAGGGAAGGAAGGAAGGAAGGAAGGAAGGAAGGAAGGAAGGAAGGAAGGAAGGAAGGAAGGAAGGAAGGAAGGAAGGAAGGAAGGAAGGAAGGAAGGANGAAGGAAGGAAGGAAGGAAGGAAGGAAGGAAGGAAGGAAGGAAGGAAGGAAGGAAGGAAGGAAGGAAGGAAGGAAGGAAGGAAGGAAGGAAGGAAATGCAGAGGGAGAGGGAGAAAGGATGGTGAGAGAGAAAAAGAAAAAGAAGAAAGAAAGAAAAGTCACAGAAGAGAAATGCACTTCACATTCTTTAAAAGATACATGCATCAAATTAATAGTCAATAAACTCCAGCAAAGAATGAACTGCGTTGTACAGATGTTCTGCATGTAATAGTTTGCTGCAGTTTTTCCTTTGACAAACGTCCTTATTGCACTCGTCTTTTGAAGCATATGAAAGCAGCATTTAATCGAAATGGGTCCCGTCTAGCATAGTGAGGCAGCTTCATCTGACAGCAGCCAAACTGCCTCATGGAAAGTAGTTTAGCTCCAAATTAGCTCGCTTCTGCGTTAAATACCAGCTTGCCTGAGAGATCTTTGTGAAGATTCCCATATATATCTGTAATATTCTGAGATTTGAAGCATATGTGCCTGAAAGCTGAGATAGTCTCTGTTGAGAAGTACAGTACAGTACTGCAGGCTTCATCATAGACTAGAAATGACAATTATAAATATTTGAACGCAGCTGACAAGACTTTCCATAAAAGTGGTGTTACAGTAAGTGTGTGAGCCAAGAAAACTCTTGGTAGTCAATGCAGATACTGCTGTGAGGAGGGTCATATGCTTAGGAGATAAATGGATGATCAGAATGGAGCCATTAGAGAAATCGACATTCCTATGTCCTCAGCATTTTTTTTTTCACAGTATAAATTACGGACTATTTATATGTCTTATGATAAGATGCATGTCTGGAGACCCGCAATGAACTTGGGGGTTTGTTGTGCAAGATGCTGCATGCATATAGAGAAAGCAGTCATAAATACTGGGATACTAGTAAATTTAACAKTATTGGGTCATGGACAGGGGAACTGTAACTTCTCTATCTGTGTTATTAAATTGTTTAAATATAGTATAGTTTTGGCTCAGGACAATTTCTTGCRAGCCATTTATGGGCACAAATCTGAAGGCCAGTCATCAATGAAGAGCTCTCATTAGGCAACCTATATGCACCACTTCTATTGGGAGGCTGTAAGAATTTAAGAGCAGAATTTAAGGCCAGAGCATACCAGTCACTTTGGCACCAAAGACCAGATCCCATCACTGATTACTTTTTGTCTTATGGATTTAGACAACCAGCAGGGRAAAGAAATGAAGTCAGCAGTGGCAGAAATTATTTGCCTTGGATAACCCTGTAGGTAGGAATGCTCCTTTAGATGTCTAACAGCCTAAATAAAGCAAAAGATCTTGCTTTCTGCCTCCCTCATGATGATACACGTCAAGCTGGGAGAGCATTATGCTAGCGTAAGGGCTCCAGGTTACTTCTGAAGGTATCTCTCAAGCTTGTAGGTAGCAGTGAAACAAATGCCATACATTTGTCCTGTGTTCCCTGGCCCAACTCATTCCTGTCCTTATGCCCTTCTAGAACAAAATTTGGACTGTGCCAGCAGTGCTTAGTCACTGTGGCTGAAGTGTTGGGCTAATAGGAGATGGGTTTTTATGCTGAGGCCAGGGAAGTGTGGGAAAGCTGGGCTTTTCCTTATATGTCTCTACACTGCAGCTAGCAAGTAAGAAAGCTTTCATATATTCATATCTGATATCCCTGATACTTCACAAATTAGACCTACAAGTAAAAGTCCAARGAAAATCCAGTTCATCCTGAGCTGGGTGCCATAGACACTCCTGGATAGAGAAGAGGAACATTAATGTAAGAAGATAAACACTGATGTAGAAAAGAGTCACTCAATCTGACCTATAATCCAAAGCTCTGTACCCACTTTTTGAACAGACCTATTCATTTGCGGTAGCAAAGACACTGACTACGGTTGTCTCACAGAGATATTTACTGTTTCACCAGTTGGCTCAATATCCTGAGTATGGAGATGGAAGACCATCAATGTCCCCCTTACCTTCAAACTTTATATACCTTCACCTGTGCTGCTCAACTGCCAAGACACCTGCTTCCTAAAGAAAATAATTATTATGTGTTGTCTTTGAGAAAGCAGGAGTGTCTGTGTTTGCGATCACTGGATGGAATCCAGCATCCTAGAAAGTACTGACTTCTTACCCCCACCTGAACCAACACTTGGAAAGTTTGTCAGTCTTTAGGATTTTGCCCCTTTCATTCCAAGAGCCTGAATGAATCACAGACCTGGTCAACATTGCTTAGAGAGCAAGACTTGGCTGGTGTTCAAGGATATATCCAATAAAACAGAGATCCAATTGCAAAATCAATTAAATATTTTAGAAAGAACCTGTTAAAATAAATAAAACATGGGGTAAATGTTGGATGTGTTCCATAATAGCTCAGAAGAACAGGTAAAATGATAGAGAATCTGTGTCCTAGGTTTTATTTTAATATTCTCCATGGGGATTTCACCATCATACTTCCAGTTAAGATAAAATCTCTCGTGTATGATCACAAGGTAGTCACCACAGACACTTTTCATAGACAGATATTTTTTATAGGTTCTGACAGCTATATGCTATAAACTTATATATTACTAAGACTTGTAAATCAGAAGGAGATTAAAACAGTCATCATTTTTCCTTTAAATAGTGTAGTTTGCTTTTAAAGACCATTCCTTCAGTACAAAAATATTAGATATCTCCCTAACACTCTCTTAAGCATTTTTTTTTGTTGTTTCCTTGGTGGCATTCTTAGTCACGTAAGACATGAGTGAAATCAGAAAGTGAATACTGGGAATTTTTTAAAGCATCTGTATAGTTCCCATTACCTCTGTGTGATCCTCCTAACATCTTTATTCATGCTGCACATCTGTGATACGGATATGTACAATAAACCCCATTTTCCGGAGAGCTTGGAGAACCAGGGTTCAGAAAGTTAGATCCTCCACTCCATCCGGAATTTGCTGTTCAAGTAACTTTGAAGAACTTGCCCCATGTAAAATTTCTGGGATCAGACAGATAATTTGCATTTAGGCAGTACACTGGATTTGATAGTTTGCATTTAGGCAAGACACTGGATTCAGACCTTTCCAAGTCCCACTGAAGTTACAGAGACTCTCTTGGTTTGCTCATTTTCCTGAATATTTTCAGGAGTGTGGCTAGGGCCATGCTTGTATGCTTATCTGGAAATTGTTAATTTATTATTATTATTATTATTATTATTATTATTATTATTATTATTATTATTATTATTATTATTATTTGTAGGGATCACTGAAGTACAGGTCATCGATGGATATGCAAGCTTTACTAACCTGGCTGTCTCCAGAGCAGGCACAAACTGGAACCTCATATTCACTGTCACATCACCTCCCGGTGGGTTGTTTTCTGTGTTTCATATGCTGTGCTTTATATAGGAAGTTTTAAGCCTTACTTGTGCGAGTGGAGCTATGCTAAACCTGTAAATAGCCTGAATTTTGTTCCACGTCCAAGTTGGCACCACCCAGGCAAACAGGGTGATTATTATACCAATAATTCAAGATCCTAAAAGTTAAGATGGGTCAGAACAGAGATAGGCTGTCAGAGAAAAGTGTCTCTTTCATTCTATGTTCCCTAGCTAGGAGGGGCTAGAAATTACAGAAGGCAACTAACATTTGGAGTCTTTTGCTTCTGAATAATCTCTCTTAATACTTTGGAATAGTGGAAGCAGATAATCAAGTTACTTTTGCATGCAACTTGATAAGTCTGTGGATGATATTGTCCAAAATGATCCATACAATAGCATGGGGTAGGATTTATGACCCAAGAAATCCCTTCCTTACGTGGGATTAAGTCAAGACCCAGAATTAATTAATTAATAATTTATTTATTTATTTTAATGAGAAAACTTTCTCCCTCCAAGTCAAAAGTGGCTGACTGATGCAGTTTTCTATGGTTTTGCAAAGGGACAATTGTCRTGCAGGAGATACTTGGAGGCGGGCCTTTAAAGGACTGTGTGTTGAGCTGGACACACACATTGATGATACTTCCGTGAGTGCAGTTGTAAAGCCAGCACCTCAAAGGATCAGACCCTTCAGTGGGAAGTGCAGCATAATGAAATGGTTTCCGAAAGTTATTTAAGGGGAGTCAAAAATCTTCTTTCCTCTGATCTAATAGAGATCCCTTTCATTAAACACTTAGCTAGTAAGAGTGTTGCAAAGAGATGTTTGCAGATAGCAGTGCAGACAGCTGATCCATCTGTGTAGGCATCATCTATGTAAATCAGAAAATTAATGCTTTTAGTATCATAAAAATATACACCAAAAAGAAGAAATCCCTATTACTTGTTTCTAATTGAGAGTTGTGTTGGAGACAGTATAAAGACTTTTATACTGCCAGACTCTTCTAGAAGATATTTGCTTATCATTCAATATAAATAAACAAAAATTAAACAATCAAATAATATTTGTTTGGGGTGCATTCTTGTGATTGCTYTCTGTGTATACCTTGGCATAATTACTAATCGTCTTGTGATATGGAGAAAGCTCAGAACATGCAGCAGATGTTGAATGCAATGATCTTAAGTCATTCAGTGGTAATTCCTGGAGAGAGTAGACTATTCATTGCATTACTGCATGGTCTCACTCCTTATCCTAGATTAATACTTAATTGACAGGTATCTTATCAGGGTTGATCCATCCATACGGTTTCTGATTTTTGAGAACTGATGAAAAAAAAGTCTTTTTAATTTTTATCAAAAGAGTAAGACAAATAAATAAAAGAAATTCACATCCATTGAAAACAAGGTTCGTGGGTGCAGGACTGAGTATGGTTCAAGTGGTATGATAGGTAATATGTTGGTGCACTCATCCATGTCCTTCAAACTATTCTGTAGACAGTGCAATGGCCAATTTTATCAAACTCCTTTCCTTCTAGAACACATCTCTGTTCAAAATGTATTTTGGAAGTGGTCCAGGACCTGTACTAAAACCTGACTGCTTCTGGGCATAGCTTGGGAGAGCATTTGTTGGTCCAAGCTGAAATAGGCCAAACTGCTTTTTCATGGTTCATTTTTTTAGATCAATTATGAATGCTGATTCCACACCCTGGGACTACCTAAAAACTGGAAAAGGCAGTGCTAACAGTGAAGACACTCAAACTGTTTATAATACTTGCTATCAACACAATGGAGAATATCAACAAGTTGTAGGCCTGAGAGCTTTCCATATCTTGGACTTAAGTTTAATGCTGATGAATGTTTCTAGATTCTCCCTAACTTACATTCAAATGAACAAAATTCAGACTAACAATAGTGCATGACTTGCACTATTCTCACTGCAGTCAGTTTCTCTGGCTTGTTACGCAGAATGTGCACATGTTTGATCTGGTCCTGATATTGTTGGCCTTAGACACAGATGATTTGCAAATGTATTTTATGGGTTTGGCAATCAGCTGGACAAAGTCATGGAAAACATTTTGTTAAGGATTATTACGTTCAAAGAGACTGCCTCTGCTTCAGGAATTTCTGAAGGCTGGGAATGTAAACTGGGGAAATATGGTTACACCTTTGCCTTTTTCCGATACTCTGTCCTAAATAAATACTATTGGCTAGTGTTGGATATGGGGATAGATGGACTTCTGGGATGTTCCAGCATACACTTTTAACAGCAATATCATTGTTAAAAGGCTATAAACTGCTGTCTTCATTATGAAATTAGTGTCCTCACTTTTGTAGTAAACTCTGCTATTTGAATTCACAGGGGCTAAGTTTACTGTGCTGTCTCAGCCATTTACCATCTTCCCTGTCCTCCTGCAAGAGAAGTCCAGCATGATGGTTATTATACTGAGTTCAGGAGCATCTGTGCTCRTCCTTGGTCTTCTGGCATTCTGCTGTCTCAAGAAAAGCAAAAGCAAGAGTAAGTTGGAAATGGCCATGGAAATTTATACTTGAAGAGTGTAAATCTCTTCCATTTAGTTAATCTCCAGAGTGACCACAACTGAATTTAATAACAATGTCAAAGTAAGATGAGCAGAGCTTTTAGCATCATTCATAAACCTTACCCCAAAATAGCCTGATTTTTTTCCTAGTTTCTCTTAGTAAGACTCACAATCAGTTAGTCTAGTCGTATATCTCCCATGCTGCTGTTATCATGACTCTCACTTCTTTCCTCTGGTTGCCTCATCATTTTCTTGCATCTTAATTTGTCTTAYGAAAATTGTTTGGTTAGATCATGACACTCAGAGAAAGTTCTGCAGAGTTTGGTAATAAGGGACATTGTTCATTCAGGGTTGTGTGGTTGTGTGCCTATAACAGATGCCTGAGTCCTTACTGTGAAATGTTTTAATCATGTTTGAAATGTGAAGAAAATTTGATTTATATAGTGTTGTTAGGAAACTAAGAAATGAAGGAAATGCCAAGATTTCAAATGCCAAGATTACCCTTTCAGCCACTGTGTTTTCCTAACAGGTAGCACAGTAATATATTACTGTGGTAAAGTTAATACAAAGCTCATGTGCTGACCAGGAAGCAGACACAGCTGCAACTTGAACACAACAGAGGCAGCTGTGTGGCCATGCTAACATCCCATAGTATATCATCAGCATCATGTATATCAAAGTGATGATTGGAGGGCAGTATCTTCTCTGGAGCTCTTCTCCCAGACAAATCTGGGCCTCTTCTAACTTATTTTAAAATAGATATTAAAACCTTAAAAACAGAGTTGTCTAAGGAAGCTTTCCCAATTTGGAAGGCATAAAACTCTTTGTGTAAGATAAAGACTGAAGGTAAAAGAATRTGGTGATAGCTACTCTGTAGGTTGATTCCCAAATTGCCACACTGAACTTCTGGATGTGAAGGAAACTACCAATAACCTGGTCATCTAGGTATGTTGAGACCTAGCTATTGGTACGAGCAATCGATATGGAAAGAGCTAGTGCACATCCCAGTTAATAAAGTCTTTTGGACTGATCTCCTACCAGTGCCAAGGTCTATCATCTCAAGAGTTTCACTAAACTGATTCTTCCAACGTTGCAAATCCAAGCTAAAGAGCCCTTCTCATAAACTGCACCATGAGCACTAGCTGCAGTGAGGTCCAAATCTCTAATATTAGTGAACTTCGTGACAATATAAGGAAAGCTTTTACTGGAGAGAATAAGTGGGATCCCTAGTGGAAAAGCACAAAAGAATATAATCACAAAACAAGCCTCTCTCCTTTGGGGCAAAAGGAGCACATGCTAGATTATCTGGTAATTCACCAGCAATTTATTGCTGCTTAGAGCAGTAGTTGGTGCTGTGCCAAGGGTGCATTGAGAGTGATGCAACTGTTTGCTTTATTGCAGAAAGAAAGGCTGAACAGTCTAAGAGATGGCAGCAGGCAGAAGCGAGTRCCAACGCACCCCAGGTCCGGGCACGGCCTTGTTCAGCTCATCACCTCCAGCCTTGTTGCAATCAGGGAGAGAAGGAAAGTGGCATTTCTGCAAAGGGAGGTAAGATTGCATAATGAGATGTCCTTCTCCTGAATATTTGTCTACTTTGTATTTTCTTTCCTTGTAGATGTATTATGTGAAATCCTAGCTTGGTTGAAGGCAGCAGCAAAACTTCCCTGCCTCTAGTTCACCAAGTCTGTGAGTTCACCTAGTGCTTTTGGAGCAAGATGACCTTCCCATTGTATCCACAGCACCTGAGAGCAACAGGACCTCTTTTAACCAGATGTTCRGGAGCTATCACATTATTAGCATAGAGATAGCTGCTGTGCAATACTCCCAAGGGTCTAGATGATCCTGCAGGCAGTGGATGACCACACCAAGGTCAGTTACTGTGCAGAGGTGAGAAAAGCACTGCTTTCTGTGCAGTGATTCAGAGCCAGATCCCCCCAAATGGCTCCATTCTCCCCGTTTTCCTGTCCCCCTTCACTCCCTACTGTCACTTTCACAAACAACCCTCTCCCRCACACCTCCTCGAGACTTGTCTTTTCATCATCTGCTGATCAAACACGACTTCTTCTGAGGTCACTGAAAAGCAGACAGGCTCCAGGGCATGCAGCTGGTAGCATAAAGCTTTGGCTTCCCAAAACTGAAGCATGTGTGAAATGCTCCTATGGTTTCTTTTTCTTTCTTTCTTTCTTTCTTTCTTTTTTTTTTTTTTTTTTTTTTTTTTTTTTTTTGGTCTTGCCAGGCAACAGTGCATGTCTAAGGGCATTCTGATAACCCCACTCAACACTCCATTTACCCTCTATCAGGAATTTCTTTTTCCTCCTCCTTCCCAAAGCATGTGGATTACATAAGAGGCAGGAAGAAGATAGTTGGAGCTTTATCTTCTTTTCATTAGCATCTATCACAAAAGCAGAGAGAGAAGGGGAGAGGAAATTCTGCAGTTTATGTGTTTTGATATGTGCTGTACTCCTCCAAAATACAGCRTTCAGCTGTGTGCCTTAGGATACATATCTGCTATAAATTCATTTTTTATCTAATTTGTCTGAGATCTAAGCTTCCTGTGGAGGTCTGAGATCAAAGGATCTGATTCCGTCTGATGTTGGCTCTGACACATAATGCGTGCTGACTTAGTTCTGTCTATAAACTCKCAGTGGGAGACTGCCATTCTCCCTTGGCACCTTTACATAGTGAACTTTCATTTTGGCTGGGGAGGCTGACAGGTATAGTGTTGATTGGAGGCATCATGTAAATAATTCATGGGAAGATTTTTGTCAGAAGAAGGAAATCCAGCCACTTAAAGTCTTTTAGGAATAGTTGCAAAACAAAAAGATTCCCCGATATGTTCAAATCTAAACAAGGATAACAATATCTTAAGTGAATTTAATACATATGACTTGGAAACGTGTAATGTTTGATTTCCCACTATTTAAAGTACTGTTGGTTTTGGAGACAGAGAGGCAATCAAAGATACAGTCTTCTTATTTAGCTTCTGCTTTGTAGTTGTTCTCCCCATAAGAAATCCCACCTTTCTAAAACAATTAAATGTTCAGAGTCTTTATTATTAATCATCACAGTTAGACTCGCAATGGAAAGCTTTTCTGTTTGGTATGTACTTATACAGTGCATAGTCCAATGGAGCTAGGAGCCTCAGTGGTTTTCTAAGGACAAATAGCTGAGGATGGAGATGAAGAAGAAAGCCATGTGCATAGACAGCCAAATTTTCAAGTGAGAAGGGATCAAGATATTACCTTACCTGACATCAGAATCATTTAATTCTGTTTTAATCCCAGATCACTGATAAAAACACAGAATAGCATCCATGTCAGTGGTTGTGTCTGGTATTGCAAATCATCTCACCCTTGTAGAAGTATTTCCTATTGATAATTGCTACCTGAATTATCTGTTAGATTGTTCTTAATCCTGCTGATGTGAGTTTTATTGAGAAAATATTGCTTATTCAATTTAATTACAAATAGGAAAAAATGTGGCATGTAGACTGCTACATTCCACAAATACCGAGGCAGTATTTCATCGTTGAAACTGCTCATCAGCAAAATCAAATTCTAGTCTATTCCAAAAATGACACAAACTTGTTTGGTAAGACCTATCTTTTTGCAACATAAAATGGCATCTTGGAAGATGAAGAAAGCTTAACTATATTGCAAGAAAGAAAATTTGTTATAAGGGATCAGAACCTGATAATTTTGTTTATGTGTAAAAAGCAGAAAGTCAAAGCCAGTTGTGTATGTAATTTGTACTTTAAAAAAGCCAGTTACCTAATGCTAAAACAATCATGAGGAGAAAAACTATTATGCACATAAGCATGTGTGACTACTGAAAATTTACTGAGAACTTTCCAGTGAATTTCCAAAAGGCACAATTCTGAAATTGAATGCTATAGGCATACTAGTCAGAAAAAAAAAGCTCTTTACCAGGAGAAGTGAGCACAAGCATAAAGAAATATGGAAATTGTAGAAAGGAAATGAAGATAGGGGAAAACGATGCCTGCAAATAAAGTTCAAAGTCAAACAGTTATAGAAAAGGGAAAGGAATAAAAAAAAAAAATATAATTTTGAATCTCCCTAATATTTACCATATAAAATTATGATTCATAGCTAATTAATTCAAACTTCCCATTTAAAGTTAATTAAAAATTATTGCTTTGATAAAAAAAAAAAAAAAAAAAAAAAAAAAAAAAAAAAAAAAAAAAAAAAAAAAAAAAGAGAGAGAGAGAGAGAGAGAAGAAGGAAAGAAAAGAGAGAAAGAATAAAATACCTGAATATATTTTATATAGAATGAGCTTCAGAAAGGGAGATATTAATGTCACACAAAACACTGGTTAATGTTGATTATGCATGAATGCATGTTATGTGAGCCTCTTTCACCTAGCTGGCCAAATGATGTAGAGGATGGAGCCAATCCAGGTGCATGGGTGATTCATCCTTTGCAGATGAACTTGAGGTGTAATTTACTCAAAAAATGGCAAGCAGGGCTTGCCTCTACCTTGCCAGAATCACATCTTCTTTCTTCAAGTAACACTAATAGTATACTCATTAATCAAATAATAGTGAAAATAGTCTTCCAGGTGACCCTGCAGGTCTCAGGCTCGACTAAGCAAAGTTGCAACTGGCATCAAGGGAGATGCCTGCAGATATGTGTAGGATGTTGCTTTCCCACTAAGACTCTGCAAAACCATCTGACCCCTTTGCTGCCTCTTCTACTGTCCCTKTTGTAAAGACTAAGCAGATAAGTCTGCTGAGACCTTGCCATTGGGCAGAAAGACTCAGATTACTAAGGGTTAAGCTTGAAAGACAAAGCTCAGTAATAAGTAGTGGAACAACACATTTTCTGTGAGTCACTTGTGGAAAGGACCAATAATATATTCTTATGAATGGCTGTAAAACCAGTGTCATCCAATAACAGATGTGGTATGTAGACCAGGACTCAGTCTGGATTTGGAGCAAGCATCCAAGGCTTGTTTCTTGAACAATTTAACAATATCCCAATATCTTTTCTTTTTTTTTTTTCCTGAGGTTGGCAGGGAAGAGATGCCTGCAAGAATTTCATAAATGTTTTCAGCATCCAAATGAAGCAGACTGCCAATCTTGCACTGAAGTGATAGCACACGCTGTCAACTCRAAAGCCATCTGTCGTAACACTACAAGTGATTCTGCCTCTGTGCTTGATAACCCTTTGGATTGCTATGATGTAAACATTTTGCATTTCCACATGAAAAATGCATAAGATCGATTTCATTTTTTTCCGCATATTTCCAGCATCATTTTATAAATAGCATTACAGGTTACAGCCTCTGCTGTGAGTAGGTTTCAAACATCAGAAAGCTGTGCGTTAGATTAGAGCTTGATTTATAGAGGGATGATATATTTATAGATGTGTAGTGAGTATTAAAGATGATTATCAGCCCTAGCAATAAACAGCTTATAAAACAGCTGTATTCTATACGCTTTATTATTAAGAATTTATTGAAGCGTTTGATAACCATTGAATAATGCTTTGGAGCTATTTTTGTATCAGTATGAAAAAGGCAGCTGTTTCCATTTCAGATTTTGGTTGCTGTATGTTTATTTGTGGAAGCAGTTTATTGTTATTGGGTTTTAGCAATCTCTTTTTGCCAAACTGAAACTGGGGGCCTGTTAAAATGATCCTTCTAACAATATTTTTTCCAATAACAACCAGTTTTTCATTTCAAGTTGCTAACAGAGAAAGGAAGGGTGAAGAAAGGAAGGGTCTTACAGTTATTGTAAAGTACAGAACAAGCTTTCTTTTACAGATATGGAAGAAAATGGAGTAATGGGAGATACTAAAGGACAGTTAAAGGAGCTGAATCAGCAGTTCCTTGAAGCCAGCTCAGATGGAAAGACAAATGCCTTCCAGCATAATGACAGTCAGCAACAGCCACGTGGAGGGGCATCTCCTAGTGCCTCTCTGGCCCTGCAGCAGCCTACTGTCCCACCACTCTCCAGCTGGGAAAACGCCTCTCAATCTTCATCTGGTCACAACGAGAAAAGAGAGAAGATCAAAAAGGTGCCAAAATTTCAGAAGAACACCACAGAGGACATTGCCATGGAAGCAGCAGATGTGATGTGAGCAGAGAAGGGATGTGAGGTGGTGGGACATCAAAAAGCAGGTTTCTCCTGGGGTGCAGTCAATGCCAAACAGAGCCTCTTTTCTTCTCAGTGTTTAAGAGTTTCAGAGAAGAAAACATACATATTAACACTGGAAATCAGCCTGTCATGCTGCACACATACAAATAAAACTGTGTCTATGCTTGTTACCTGTCTATGAAGTTAGCAGGAAGACTCCAGCCATGTCCATGCTGCTAAGCTCTCTCAGAGACATATCCAGGTTGCCTGTTGAGTATGTTCTTGGCTTCTGACACCTCCAGAACTCTCTCCAAAAAACATTTGGGGAGTGCTGGCTGGTTTAGGTCAAAAGTATTTGATKGATTAGCCTAATACTACAGATGATTGAGTTCCTATCCCCAAACTCTGACACGGTTTATTTTTTTGTCATTGATTTAATTCTAGTGGCTAGAGCGGTGCTCATAGGTGTATATGTGTATATATCTTTATACACATACATATTTATAATAAATACACAAACATTTATATATATATACATATTCACAAAATAACTTGTGATAAGTAGGGTTTTTTTATTTGTTCTACTCTTGTCTTTAGYTTGCAATGCAAAGATTTTTTTTTTTACTTTACTGAGGGAAAAAATGAAACATTTATTCACCTTCCATTTCACTGTGACTTCTGCAAATACTTCCAGGCTATCTTAATTAAAGTTGTGTTTAAGATTTCTTTTTTTAATTAAACTGTTTTGCTGAGCTGGACCCCCGTCATGTTGCTGTTTTCTAATACCTTTAAATCACTGACTTGTTATGAAGACTGCACTTTACGAGTGATAATAATAATAATGATGTGCTTCAGTTGTTCAGAAGATTCCTCTGTGCTTTGCTTTACTGAACTGAAAGATGAGGAACTTTATTATGCCCTCTATGTATCATAAAATACTTGGTTGCAAGGTCCCCTGGTGGCATAAGATAAAATTTATATTCCTCTGAAGAACACAAGCAGGAAGATGAAGTTTCTGGACGAACCAATAGTGGAAAGTAAGGTAAGAAACCTAAATTTAAAGAAAAAAAAAAAAGAAAAAGCTTCTTCAACTGAAAAATTGCTACCATGTAAATGCATCTAAAACAGCATCTAAAACAAAAGCTTTATTTTGCAATAGTTAGAATACAAACTTAGCCTGTGGAGCATCTATATACCATTACATTTTTTACCACCAGCAGTTTTGGTGATCCTATTCAAGATCCTCGATTTTTGACTCTCGAGTTCTCCAATATCCTCCCAATGTAACCGGCACAGCAGTTATTTTCAACTTTGCATGGATTGTGTGTGAGTAGATTTGTGTGTTCATATATCCCTTGATAAGAAAACAGTGTACATTCTCAAGCTAAATAACTGTAAAATCATATTCTGCTCACTGATTCGCTGTGTTTCTATTGTGTATAGGTTTCTAATACATACATTCCTATGATTTTTAATTTTAGTCAAACAGAATAGTTTTCTCCCTTGACTTTGGGTTGCATTGGATTTTGGTTTAGGTTAGTGTAGGGAGAGGAGATAACTTGTCACCCCATTTCCAATATCATTTTAGTTCCTTTATTATCCTAAGCAAGAGTCTGTTTGAAAGGATACCTAAWTTTTAACTGAGCTCTCCAGGACTGTCTGGATTCCTAGACAATGCCGTGGTCAAAGATATTCTTCCTTCCTCTTCTTCTTCCCCCTCCCCTACTCTTTCTCCCCCACCCTTTTGTGGTAGTGGTATTTTTTCCTCTTATGTCTGAAGTAGAGGAGTGCATTACAGACAAATTTGCCTAAGGCTTTGGGCCAGAGTTGATGAGACTTCACGAAGATACAGGAGCAGGCACATGGATAGAAAAAAAGAAAGACTGTGAAAAATTAAAATGACAAGGCTGGTTAGGGAGCAGAGATAACTGGTGATGTAGTAAAATTAATTACAGCCTGGGTTGAAGGAATAGTGTGCCTAAGACAAAATTAAAAAAAAAAAAAAAAAAGAAAAAAGAAAAACCAAATAACAGCAATGAGATTATAAACCCTTTCATCATCTCTATGTGGTATAACTCCCGTTCCCTATTTATTATAGCAGTTATTTCTATAGCATCAGAGGTATAAATGGCAAATAAAGGAGACAAGTGTCCAGTCAAAAGGTTTGTTCTCTGAGGTCCTGATTCCACAAAAAGTAGCAAAAGTAGCCTTATTAAGAGTGAAATTGCATAAACAACATCTTCTCTGGACTAGGAGCGCTGATAGAAAATCTTGTCTGGATCAGGAATGCTATATGATGTAGCACTACATGAGTAATTATGGGTTCTTATGGACTATGCAGATACACAGGGTTTTTAGAATTTATTTATTTATTTATTTATTCAGTCCTTGTGCATCTTGAACTTGTGCCAAGTCTTGAAGTGATCCCAAAGCTACACTGACAGGAAAAGCCTTGTTAAAATTTAGAGAAATATTAGATGACAATTTGTTCATCAACAAAGAGAGGTGAGGGCAAGAGCAAAATCTCATACTCAGTAGGATCATTTGGATCATTCCAAGCTTTAAAAACGTATCAGCTGAGGATGTCATCTTGGGTGTTTCTTTAGTAATATAAAAGTCCTAAACTTATCAGTCTTGTAGACCATAATTCATATCTAGACTGTAAAAGAGCACTAGTTGTCTTCCCTTTTGAGGAGTGAGACTGGAGGTAGGTGCTACCCAAAATACAAGATTTCATAGAGCCTGGTGACAATTAGAGTTGCAGCATGGCAGACTGAGGTTCCTTGGAGTGTGAGGTCAACTGAGGAGGCACATTTAGTTGACAACATAGCTATGGCTTTCATAGCTTTCACTAGCTTGAGCCTATGTGTGCAGCTCAAGTGCCAAGGAGAAATACGTCCGTATCACAAGATGGTTTGAGGGAGAGCGATGTGTGTGTCCAGCAAAATAGGTTAAATTTAACCTCAGATTGAAATTTAATAAGAAAGGGTTATTTTAACTGCTTTATGGACACTAAGTTAATGTATTCTCAGCAGTTACCTGAAATTTTACCTTATTATRTTCTCCCCTACGTTTGTGCCAAAGATACCATTCTGGCATTCAGACAAGAACCCTTCACCTCTGTCTTGCATGCACCGCTTCTCATCAAAACCTTTTTGGAAATGAAACTGAAGTGAATACACAGAAGTGCATAAACAATTGAGCAGAGCAGAAAATGAAGAATTTGGCCATGATTTCTGTAAATTAAAGTATTAGAATAATAATAAAAAGCAACATCTCATTCTGTTAGTGAGCTTTCAAAAAAAAAAAAAGATGCTTTCAAAAAAAAGAAAACAAAGATGCTGTAGAAAAAAAATCAGCAATGCTTGAAAATACTTCACATCAAAAACATCATCTTTCTGAACAAAATATTGTAAGAAAAACACTCATKAGCTGTARTTGTATGTATATGGAGTTATCCAAAGTAAGTGAGGTTATTTTCTTCCTAAGGATTGCTCTTTAATTTCATGTATATTGAAGATAAGGTAAACTGTGATGCACAGACATGATTTAACATGAACTCCTTATGGCCTCAGAGGAGCATCTGATCTGACTTACTTTTCCTCTCAGTCTCCAGGTCAGTATATCACCTTCTCCTAAAATACATCCAAGTTCCTGTCAATTTTACTCTAGATGTTTCAGTTCAAAACTTTTTGCTCACATTATAAGCTAAGAGAAAAAAATAGTGCTTATTATTGATGAACCTAGGTTAATTTGGAATTATGAATTCATGGAAGAAAAACAAATATCGACTAAGTAAACTACTAAATTGCTCCGATTTGGGTCAGAACAGATCTCCTATCTTCCTATCCTGTGTTGAYGGCTTGAATGTATAGGGAAGAGTATAAGAAAGAGGTAAATATGAAATGAACCTTCCCTGGATTTGCTGTTCATCAAGCAGACCCTACTTGGGCTGGAGGTTGCTCCTAATAGCTGTCGGATGGACCTATCCTCCCTTTTTCTGAAATTCTAATGTGAATCTCTTATTATAGTAAATGCTTTCATTTTTTATAAAGCTGGGTGTTTTTTTTTTTTTTTTGCTTGTTTGCTTGTTATTTTCAAATTTTCAAATGTTTTGCTTGGTACTTTACAAGCTTTTTGCATGCCAGATAAGGAGGAATTCATCTTGCTTTTCCAGATTTCTAGCACATTCTTCATCACACTTAGCTGTTTTCAGAGCTGAAGTCCTGAAGGGCTTAGAGGTCTGAGTCTTAAAGTGAAGAGCAAATGAGTAAGGGCTAAATCCCCACAATGGGCAAAAGAAAAGGAAAATGCATACTTGGACCTCCTGCAAAAGAACTCCCTCCTCCAGGATTCACAGAATCACAGAATGGTTAAGGTTGGAAGAGACCTCTGGAGATCATCTAGTCCAACCCCCTGCTCAAGCAGGGACACCCAGAGCACATAGCACAGGGTGGCATCCAGGTGGGTTTTGAAGACCTCCAGAGAAGGAGACTCTACAACCTCCCTGGGCAGCCTGTTSCAGGGCTCTGTCACCTTCACAGTGAAGATCTTCCTCATATGCAAATGGAACTGCAATGTTTTCATTTGTATCCATTACACTTGTCCTGTCAGTGGTCACCACTGACCCAGAGTTCCATCTAAGGTGACTCTTAGAGCCCGTCCTCCCCACATTCTCCCCTCAGGTGTTTGTGCATGTTGATAAAATCATCTCTCAGTCTTCTCCTCTCCAGGCTAAACAGGCCCAGCTCACTTAGTCTTTCCTCATAAGTTGGATGTTCGAGTCCCTTAATCATCTTCGTTGCTCTACACTGGACCTTCTCTGGAAGGTCCCTCCTGTACTGGGGAGCCCAGAACTRCACACCATATTCCAGRTGCTGCCTCACCAGAGCTGAGTAGAGGGATAGGATCTCCTCCCTCCACCTGCTGACAAGACTCCTGCTATTGCAGGCCAGGATCCCACTGGCCTTCTTGGCTACGAGTGCCCATTGCTGACTCACTGTT